TTGATCCCCTGCAAGGATTCCCAATTGTTTTATAACTTTTCACAGGAGGAAAAATACTTGTCTCCTGCCTTAGCCTGAAGACATTGAAAGGAGTAGGGCCAGATTCATTTCCTTGGAGGCTTTTTCCAGTGATCTGTCAGAAAGAAACATCTACATAAACACTTAATACATGTCAATTCCATCAGTCATCAAGCCCACATTGGTGAAAATAAGAGAATTAAAATGCAACTGACACCATTTATTTGGGGAAATTTTATCTTACATCATCTCCAGAGTAGACAATCAGATTCATATCTTCAAGCAGTTTGCAGATGGGGTACTGTTTTGGAAGCAAGTTTTAAGTTAGAACAACTCCTTTATCAGAAATAACTCTTGAGAACTACAACATGTGGGAGGCAAAAGTGTTCGGTCCCAGTCAGAAGCACATCAGCTGTTCATGTCCTGTTGTAATGTGCATAACTCTTCAAAAAACTATTTAGACCATGGACTTCAGCTTCAGTCTGACACCTGCTTCCATACAAAATCATTTTCTAAGTGAGCATCTAGAGCAGCTGACTACCAAAAGGAGAGTCTCCTACTTCCCTGCTCCTCTTGGAACTGAAGAGTTTATAGTAACAGGAGTGAGCTTTTTTCATCTCACATTGACAAGGAATAAATAGGTTGTGGTACTGCTATTCACAGCTTGCAGCATTTTATTCCACTGTCATCTCACCTGTGCGAGATGCTAATGAATTCAGAAAGGTTTTGTGGGCTTTTTTCTCTCAGGATATGTGTGAGAAAGCCTAGCTGAAATGTCAGCTTCCACATTCCAAAACTGACAGTTAGAAAAACAAAGGAAAACTTTCTGCTTGTCAATGCTGGGGTTTGCTTGAGGGAGACACACAGGTTACTGCTCAACACTTTGAATCCCTCCTCCCCTTTTCTTTTTTAGGCAGTCTCTTTTAGGACTAGGACTGCATTTTAAGATCTGCTAACATTGGTGCCTGACTAAAAATAGGCTTTTTGAGAAACTATTTAATAAAGCACAACTTTCACTATGAATGAGAAAATTAACATGGTAGGGTCTTAGGCTTGTTTTGACAGAGATATTCTTTGGCCACCCCAGCTGCCTGTCAGCTTGGAAATGGCATCAAAATCTCTTCTCTGGAAGCAACTGTGGGGGAGAGAGGAACATTGTCACAGAGCAGGAACTCAGGTCTGAGCCCAGCCTCAGCAAAGTAATTTAGGGTGCTCAAGTGCTTTAGGGTGCTCAAGTGCTCCTAAGGGATGGACAACATTTTCTGCATGGTTAAAGCCAGGGTACCCTTGTGACTTCTTAAGCAAAGGCTCTGTAGATACTTCAGGAGCTACCTCTTTTCATTTAAAGAGAAATAAAATCAAGAAATCTTTTACTCTACATCAAAAGCCCTGATGCTACTGACTATCTTAACTTGCCATCTCTCTGCTTCAAAGTGCAGATTTCTACATCCTCACTGCTACATACTAGAAGTTACTCTTGGCAAAAAAAAAATTTTTCAGGTCTCTGACTGTTCTCAAGGCCATAACCCTTGAATATAGAGTGAGGTGTGCTCTCTTGGCTGGACTGCACACTGAGGGACTGATTCGAGGGCAGATGGCAAATCCTATCAGAGGACTTAGCATTACACCAATAGTCTATTCCTCTCATTCTGAGATGCACACATCCTCACATCAGTGACTCAAATGTGCTTTACGCATGTAGACTGTGTATGCAAGTAATTGTTAAGCCAGGGAGTCCCAATTTCAACCCAAATTATGGTTTCTCTTTTTTTCAAGCAGGAATATTTCTCTGCTTGCTGGATTTTGTGCTTGTAGGCTTCATGTTTTCAATTTTTTTTTCATCATCATGAAAGAAGCATATTTAAAATGCCCCAGCAAACTCTAACTTAATTAAAGGATTTCCAGAGCTGCTACTCAAACAGGGAACAGGGAACACAGCTCACATGAGATTTGTGGTTTACAGTGATAGAGTCAATAACACCAGTCTGCCACTCCTCTCAGTAGCTTCACATTCTTTAACTGGCATAACAAAGGGTATTTTTTCTTCTGCAAAACACAAAATCCTCCAGAAATGGAAGTGAAAGCTGCATGACCTCATTTTCTGCCGAAAAGAGAAGGTAGTATCAGCCACAGTAGATAACATAGCTGATTGCCTTGCAATTAAAGGACTGTTCCCTGGGAGGCAGATACCTTTTATCTTGGGCATGGAAATCAGCCTGTAGCCTCCTTACTCAGTTACCTAAGGTGTGTGCAACCATCATAAGTCTTACAGGGAGAAAGTGCCAAGAGTGTCCCATAAAGAAAAGACAAATCACTTTCTTACGGGACTAAAAGTAACAAGTATTGCTGTAGAAATCATAGAGTAATATAATCATAGAATGGGTTGGGAAAGGATCTTAGGATCATCCAGTTCCAGCCCCCTGCCATAGGAAGGGATGATTCATGTTAGAGCATGTTGCCCAAGGCTCTGTCCAACCTGGCCTTGGGCACTGCTAGGAATGGAACATTCACCACTTATTTGTGCAACCCATTCCAGTGCCTCACCACCCTCACAGTGAAGAACTTCTTCCTTAGATCTAACCTGAACTTCCCCTGTTTCAGTTTAAACCGACCACCTGTTGTCCTATTGCTACAGTCCCTAATGAAGAGTCCCTGCCTGGCATCTTTGTAGGCCCCCTTCAGATAACAGAAGGCTGCTGTGAGGTCTCCACACAGCTTCTCTTCTCCAAGCTGAACAGCCCCCATTTTCCCAACACATCTTCATACAGGAGGTGCTCCAGCCCCTGATCACCCTTGTGGCCCTCCTCTGGACTTGTTCCAATAGCTCCATGTTCTTCTTATGTTGAGGACACCAGAACTGCACACAGTGCTCAGAGTGGGGTCTCATGAGAACAGAGTAGAGGGGCAGGATCACCTCCTTCCACCTGCTGGTCATTCACCTTTTGATGCAGCTCAGGATACAGAAATACCTGTTTTATTTGGATTTCACTTTTTGTACTTTAGAAGATCCTAAAGCAATTTCCAAACCAGAACCCTAATTCTGGGCAGGTTTAAGGTCAACAGTAGCCTTACTCAGTGGAGTTGGAAAGTAACAAAAGCAAGCAGAACAAGGACTGTGTGGGGTGCAGAAGGCCAGGAACTCATAGGTGTCTTCCTTCCTTTATGGCTTTATCTTAGAGTTCATTTGGCTGGACAACAACACACACTAAACAGAGGAGAGAAAGTAAAAGGGAGGATATAGCCTACCTCTGAGCTCCAGAGCTCCTGAGCAGGTGTTTCCTCCCCAGTCTGTTACAGAGGGAGGTCAAAGTCGTCCCCCTCAGCAGAGCCAGGTCTCAGTGGTGATACTTTTTTAATGTACATCCAGATTTAGCATTGTTTGCATCACACACCTCTCACAGTCATCTTTATTGATACAACAGCCAACCTACTGTACATTTGTTGCCAGGCTTAACAAGGGTTCCTAGTCCTGTGAAGCAGGCAAAGTTCTGGTGTTATATTCCCTAAGCTTGATAAACACAGCTAGGGCAAAATCTTCTGGAAATCCTAGCACTGATTCCTTGAAAAAGCATAGAAAAGGTGTTCCTGAAATAAAGATGAAGTATACATATGTGATGCCTACAAGGATAAGGAAGAAGTTCTTTGCTGTGAGGGTGGTGAGGCACTGGAACAGGTTGCCCAAAAAAATGGTGAATGCTCCATCCCTGGCAGTGTTCAAGCCCGGGTTGGACGGAGCCTTAGGCAACATGGTCTAATGTGAGGTTTCCCTGCCCATGGCAGGGAGTTGGAACTGGATGATCTTAAGGTCCTTTCCAACCCAAACCATTCTATGATTCTTTGATTCTATAAAGCCTTGGGAAGCCCCAGAGGAGGGGTGAATCCCAGATGAGTACCCATCAGTGTGTAAATGCAGGTGTTAATATCATTCTTACTACACAAGTTATAACAAGCATACTCCTTCTTACTGCTCCATGGGCATGGGTAGAGGGTAAAAAGCCTAACTCCTTCCCCACACAGCCACCCTAAATAGACAGGCTCTTGCCTTAGTTATACTGCTCTCTGTGATAAATGATCTGTACAAAGCAGTGGGTTTCTTATGGCAGCAACATGTTCCCTTTTCTTACCCAGAGCCACTCCAGTGACAAAGCAGACTGGTGCAGGGCTCCACTTTGCCAGGCACATAAGGTTTTCTCCTCACTAACAGACTCCTGGGAGAGAGAAACTGGCTTCCAGAGGAGCCTGAGACACTGGCTCAGAAAAGCTCCAAGGATTCTGTGAAATGCTGAACCCATTACTCAGCAACCACAAAAAACCAGTCTCAGAACCAGCTGCAAAGTAATGTCTTCTCATTTACTTTGGACAGTCACACAGTGGTTTTGTTTTAAGCTTAGGAGAAATAATACCAGTATCACAGTACAGCAAAAAGTGCCAGAACATGTATTAACTCACATCTCTAGGGAAGGAAGAGCAGGCTGGCCTGGTACACTGCATAATAGCATATCCATCTTTAAAGAACACCTCTCACTTTGATCGCACAACAGCATTTCCAATTAGTTGTTAGGGTATGTGTCCTGTGGCCCAAGAAGTGCTTTTCCGTAGCCTCCCAAAAATTGCCATCAGGTTTAGCTGGGCTATGAAGAGTTGAGGCAGCCACAGCTCCCCAAACAACTGTTTTCCTGTTCTTGCACCTCAGGAAAATCCTGACAGGTTAAAGTCCTGAGGGTCAGTCAGCACAGCCCTGCCTGGAGAGCAGCAGCTGCCATGAATCATATCCTGGGAACTCCATAAAGAGGTTACAGATATGTGAGGACAGGACAGCATTTCCCTTCCAACCTGGGCTCTGGCTGTCTCGTGTTCTAAACGAGCAAATGAAACAGTACATGGGAAAACATTTTAGTGGGAATGCAAAAACTGCTGCTAGAAAACTAGTTATTGATAATCTACTGTCCAGGTAGAAAAATGTTTTTGGTTTTTGTTTTGGTTTGGTTTTTTCCAGAGGGGTGTTTTCCTACCCAGTGCTGTTAAATATTTCCACAGAAAATCTGGGTGATACTTTTAGTGAAAAAAGACATCAAGCCTTTAAAACCTGACACTGAGCCAGGAAGAATAGAATGAGGTTTAAGTGTGACTTGAAGCAGAAGAGTGCAGCTAGGTACAGACGAGAGTGAAGTATTCACTGCCCTGGAGCAAGGTAAGGGACCAGTCACTCCATCAGTCTGCAGAAAAGACGTAAGTGGTTATGGCAGATCACAGACGGGACCTGAGTCAGCTGTATCTGTGGTTCTGACAAGGGGCAGGCGCTAAGGGCTGTGTTAAACAAGACTAGAGGATGCCAGAAGTATGAAGTAGCCCTTCCTGTCTATTCCACAGGAGCTCTATGTCCAAGTAGCAACTGTGCTTTAAAACAATGTGTGGACAGACAGGATCAACTCCAGAGGATGTCAGTCAGAGCCATCAGAAGTCTGGAGACCACATGCCTATAAGTAAATATTAAGTGTAAGGACTGGCTTAGCACAGAAAAGTACATAGCCCAGAAAAGAGTCAATACATAGCCTATTAGTTACAGAAACAGCAAATGGAAGAGAACAGTCTGTGCAGCCATGATCCCTTCAATCAGGGCAGACAAAGATATACCTAAATTATACCAAATGAAATATAGGTTAAACAGCATGGACAAATTTTGTAGCTGCAGGGGTAATTAGTATTGAATGAATTGCCTGGGGAGATAGTGATGTTTCCATCGAAGGGAGGTTTTCATAAAAGGTGAGACAAACAGGTGTAGTTAATCCTCCTCTAGGGTGGGTGAAGAAACAAGATGAGCTTGTGAGATCCCTTTGAGACTTAGCTTGTAGTCCACAGGAAGCACGGAGAATGGTGAGCAGCTTCAATTCCTCCTTTTTTCTGCAAGTGAAAATAAGAGCGCAAGTGTGTTTTTAGAATACGGTCCTTGACCAGCCCCACCGTCCTCATTTACCCGACCTTTCCCTTCCTCATCCTTTCCCCTAGCTCAAGAGAAAGCCTATTAGTTTTAGGTAATTCCACATTCTCAGGCAGTCCTTTCTCCCAGTGATTCTTCCTGGAGGATTTAACTATCTCATCACCACCACCCCCCCACCCCCCACCCCCCCCCTTGCCCAACGAGAGCTTCCTCTTTGCTAAGTGATTATCATTGAGGCTCAGTCGGTGGTTTTCAGTGTTTCTGCTCCTGCTCTGGTAGTTGCCCCTCTCCAGCATTCTGCAGTGGGGCTGTGGGGCTGGCTCACAGCCTTAGGGACAGCTGCTACAAAGACAGTGGGAAGCACATGGGAACAAAATAGGTGCATATTTTCACCAGCTGTTTTCCAAAAGAGCCTTCTGGAGCTTAACGTATAGGAAGCACTTTGCACCCAGCTAGAGACAGTCCTTCCTCAGGCTAACAAAACAAAAATCATCCGATCTCCACGTAGATCAATTATTGCATAACAGATGATGCTGCATCAAGAAAAACCTCTTTCCCATGGGGAATGGACCACCTCAGAGTGACGCAAGGCATAGGCCTGCTGCTAACTCCCGGGGCCTGTTTGATAGAAGCCTTCCTACCCATTTCAAGATGGGTGGCAAACCAGTTGCAGTCATCTCCTCCGTCCACCAAGACAGTAGCTGACATCTAGGTTAGCCATGATTCCTTTTCAACATGGCATTTCTGTTCACACCTTGATTTACATGCCAAGGATGATAACTTCTTCTAGCTAAAGCATGTGCCAGTTCTGTCTGGTTCTGCCCCCACAAGATTTGGGAGTTTATCTTGAAGCTAGCTTTAGTGATGGATTACCAATGACAAATCATTCAAATGGCACACTCCCACAGGAGAGTTCTGCCTCCTGCAGCTTCTTGTCCATCACTCTGTTTCTCCAGAAGGTCCCATGTCTAGGAGTCCTAATCCTGCAGGAAAATTTATTTAATTTGTCCCTATAATCAGGTGTATAAAAGTGTATAACTTTAAGGCAGACACCACATTCCACAGGCAAAGAGAGCACTTCATTTACAGTGTGAAGCCTGCAAGACAAATTTTCCTTTAACCTACCACCTGGTAAGTAAAGACCTTTAGCACTGCTGTCAGAGTTCCCTGAAACAAAGGCTATAAAGAAATAGGATTTGGCAAGAGCTGCTGTCATCTGCTAGACTGCCTCTTTGATCCTCCTTACACTTCTGTAATCATGCCAACATCTCTGCAAAACAGAACAGAGCTGCTGCATAAAGGCAATCTCCTTCTCACTTCCTTTTTAACTCTGATGGAATTTTTGCTTGGTGACATTTCTTTTTACTCACTAAGAAAACTCCCGCACCTCCCTCTCCACAGTCTCTACCTCTTTATTGCAGCCCTGCTGTTTAAAGCACATGGAAACCATGACTCAGAGAAGTAGTGATGACTAGGAGATGTGACACTGGTCTGCAAGTGAGGAGATCCACACACTGAAACTGATTGAACATTTCCGTTGTGCTGCTTTGGACTGGGAGCTCTCCAGAGTCACAATTGGTTAATATGTATTTCCCTAGCACATTCCCTGTAAATGGTCCCCTGAAGCAAAGGGTATTGAGGCACTTGACAGGGTGGTGAGGCACTGGAGCAGGTTGTGTCCTGTGAGGTGTCCCTGACCATGGCAGGGTGTTGGAACTGAATGATCTTAAAGTCCTTTCCAACCGTAACCATTCTGATTCTATGAAACCAGGGTTCAGTAATCCAGACTGTTCTCTGGCTTTAGGGACTGCTCAGACCATATCCTGGGCACCATAAAAATGAAGAAGAGTGCAGATAAACTGATCTCCAGTGTATGCACACCAGTCCAGACCATGGTTACTCCATGCTGTGTTACAGGTATTTCTTCTGATCTCTCATTGTATTTTCAGCACCATATTATGTTGCACAACAGCTGAAGAGTAATTAACAAAGTCAAGTAGGCAACCTTGTCCTGAAGAGTCAGGCATTGCCAAGACCTGACTCTTCTATGCCAAAAGCTGTGACAAAATTCCAAGCAGCCTCTTCCAGGGGCTCACATTCATGTACTGCCAGTATCAACCTTTCAGACTGTAGTTATTGAAGACATCTATCAAACAATATTAATAAAAATTCAGGGAGTTTTCCCCTCTAGTACTCATCTGATTTCTCAGCCCTGAAGGTAAGCATCACCTTTTCAGTTCTGTCATTTCCAGAGCAGGTTCTTCATTTTGAGCATTTCAGCATTACTAACTCTGTGCCTCTTTGTCAACCCGTTATGGAAGGAAAATGAACATGAACTGTGCATTCAACATATTTAACATTTTAATGATCTAATAGACATCATTTCCAATGTAGTGTTTCTTGTTTCAAGACCTTTAATCTTGACAATCTGAAGCATGTCTTTAGTAGCCCAGAAATAGTCTTAATTGTGAGGGGATCTATGCAGTAGCTTAATACTAAGCAGGCATTAATGAGGGAAGTGAACCTGGGAAATGGAAGCCTTTCCTAGCTCACCACCACCCGAGCAGGCTTTGAGCTGCCTGACAGAGAGGGCTTAATTTCAGACAGGTGGCAAAGCTGGGAAGCCAGGAATCTCCTAGGCATAACTCCCATTAACTTTTGTACCTGTTTCCAAAGGGAACTGTCATTTCATCTGCATTGTTGCTGACATCAAAGTGTCCAGCCAGTCCAGCTCACACTGCCAGTTATACAGTCAGCGGGGAGAGAACAGGAAGTAGATCTTAGAAGGCTTTGGGCCTCCTGCTGTGCTTAGATTATGATTTAATGCTGAAAAGTTGGCATGGCAACCAAATGTCACAGCCAAGAAATGGGTCCAGAAGAGGGCCAAGCAAAAGTGCTGCCCAACTCCTCTGCAGGCAGATCTGTGCCCTACATACACTTGTTGTCCACACTGCCGTAGCAGCAAGGATTGCGTCACAAGGAAGTGTTAATAATAAACTAGGCAGGTCTGCAATAAGAGAACAGCAAATTTCTCCAGACCTCTTGAAATGGACCCTGGCATCTCATTCAGGCTCCTTTTGCTCCATCCACCGATTGCCACACGTTGCCAGGAGACAGTCTTGCTCCTCATTAGGACTCACCAGTAACTGCCATTGTGCTCTCTCTCCATGTCCCACTCCTACCCTGTCCTGCTCTTGATCCCCTCAATGACAGGAGCCTGGCAATGCCCCATCTCAGTTCTGACACAATGGCCTCTTTTGATTTGGAGGTTTTCAAAAGCTTTTTACTTTTTTACAGTGATCAGCCGAACAAAATCCCCAAGCTGCACAACTCCAGACCTGCAACACACAGGCTGGAAAAGGGATGTGAGTGCCTTAAAGAATGGGGCTGACCTACGGGGGAATTAGTGAAGTACAGTGTGAAGGACCTATGTCAGATGGATCACAGACTAATCACTTGCTGCGTGAGCACTGTGGCTGCATCACCCAAGGTCTAAGATACTAAGCTTGGGCTTGAGGCTAGTGCACACAAGGTATGTCAGCCTTACTTGTGCTGGGATCACTTTACAGCATTAAAGCATACTTGTGGCTATTTAAATGCTCTCAGGCTTTTCTTTCATCATACAGGGCTTCAGAAACTTCACTTGCCTTTGTATATTGGCAAGCTTAGTCCCATGCACATCAGAAAATAAGCCATTCATTCTTCAGCTTCTTCAAGTGCTTTCATTATACCCCTAAAGGAAACCTTTTGGATATAGACTCAGTATAAGCCAATACAGTGTCACCTTCCCGAGCCTGCTGGTACTAGTGCCAATCTCTTACTTCAGAGAGCTGGGCTGTTAAGCAGATAAGTGAAGTTAAAGCCTAATCAGTTCCAGGGTTGATTTGCCAAGTACTGTTAGCCAGGGATCAGTTTATGCTGCCATTTGGCATCATCTTCCATGGTCACAGCAAACTGAAAAGTGGCAACTGAGGAGCAGACTGCCGTTGTAGCAGAGACCTCAGCACCAAAAGGCTCTAAGAGAACAGAGTAGCTAAGGTATAACTGGAGAATGCAGTGCTTCAGCTTCCTCGGGAATCTTGGAAAGCCAACAGAAAATGAGCAAGGATTTGAATGCTCTGTTTGCAGGGACTTAATCACACAGCCTGTCCCTGCACCCCTGGAGAGGGCAGTTCCTTTACATGTCATTCTCAGTGCTGCATCCAGAAGGACACCCTGGATTAGAAATCCTTCACTGTCTGCAACTAAAATAAACTGAGTATCCAAGCTCCATCATTCCCAATGCTTCTTTTTTTCACTCCAGCATTCCTGTTCCCTGTCCTACACTTAACTCCCTGACCACTGCTTTTCCCTCAATAATGTCACAGTTTTCCAGATGCTCCTAGACACATATCAGCTCTTTCACCTCTCATGTCATGTAACCAGGACAAAATAACTAAAATAACTCTAATTAAGTGGACAGGCTAATTAGACTAATTTATTTCATTTCACCAGAACTTCACTCTTCTGTTTCCAATTCACTCTGGCACCATGGGACACATTCCTCTCATTCTTCCCTCCCATCCCTAGGAGCAGTGATAAACAACTTGCATGTTGTTACAGTTTCCAGGCTTCACAATTGAGAATGACATTGGAAAATAAGGCATCAACCTCAATTTACCACTTTCACAATCAGAACAGAGTAACTGTATTGTGAGCCAAGACCAATGAAGCAGAGGAGCAGTAACCCCAGCTCTGTGCCTTACTAGCTGTAAGGCTATTACAAAATCAAAGGGGAATTTCAGACTACTCAGACAGCAAAGTAACTCCCCAGCCTGGTAGGTGGTATAGTAGGTACCTGAACAGTGCTGCAGTGCTCACAGAATAAAGGTGCACTGGCAGCACCAAGCTGCTAATCGCACCCTCTCTCACCTTGCAGTCCTAATGACCATGTTAGGAACCAAATTAGCCACATTTATAAGCCACACTGGAATAGCTGCTTTATTTACATTGCTCCATGAGATAATTGTTCTACTTCATCTGAACTTACTTGCCAACTCTGCTTTTACTAACCTGTGGAACTACATACAGGAATCTTTTGGGCACGCCAAAGGCCTAGCACAGACAAACTGCAGGTCTCCATGCACAGGAAGGGTTATGTTTGTCTGTTGCTGCCTGCCCATCCCCCTTCTTTTGTCTCTGATTAAAGATACAAACCACACACTGACCAGCACGTGGACAGCCAGTAAAGTAAGTGCAAGGACGTTCACAAGCACACACACACACACACATACAGGCCAGGCTTTGTTCCAGTCATGTTTACTCACAAGGCAAACAGTTACACATTGTTTCTGCTTGATAAATTGTAGCTGTCCAGATAGGAAAGATCCAGTTCCAGCTGGTTAGAGCCATTTTTATTTCTTACCTCCTCACCCTCCTTCTGCAGTAATTTACAAATCCAGCTTACCCAGCCACAAAAAGAACAAGTACAAGCTGCCCCTTGGCTTTCTTCCCACTTTGAATTGACACTGACTTAACCAAAGTCCCCACCTCGAGTGCCAGCAGAGGTAAAATCCTTAGGAAGTATGGCTTCAAAAGTGAACTCACACTTGACAGCTGTCTCAAAGATGTTAAGGTCCTGCACCTTTGTTGTTACTATTAGGAGCAAGAGAAGAGAGAGATCCTTTCATAGTCCCCACTCAAGTGCTCTCAGCTTGTCAGACACTAGAGAGCAATGGTCATTTGATAGTGTGGGAGCATAGTCATAGGAACCTCTCAGCTATTTCCTACCTAATTACTCATTTGCCTTGCATAGCACCTCGTGTAGCAGGTACTGAGCATCCACTGTACAACACCAAATGTCATGTATAACTCTTTAACACCAGGCTCAGAAAATGAGTATGAGGGTGCTCTACCATCAGAACAAAGCCACTCCTTTTCTGTTAGACAGACATAGGAAAGCAATACCAAAATGCCACTGTTTGATTTATACTATCTTTCCATCAAGTAAATTCATTACCTTTTGTAAGACAGCTTACTGCTTTAGAAGGATGTTAAGGCTCTACCACAGCAGAAGAAACACAAGTCTTAAGGAGCTGATAGTGTTCACATAGAAGAAATGGCAGAATCAGACCGGTGTTAAGTGAGATAAGTTCTGTTACAGATCTGCAAAGAAAACACAATAGTCCCGGGAATACAAAACCAAACTGAAATTCCTGAGTCACTGGCACCTACAGTCTTGTTCCTAAAGACACCATATCAGATAAGGTCCATCCAAACATGCTTGTTTGTTAGCTTCACTGTTCTGTCAGGAAGGCAGTTTCAGAACCTCTTCCCCATCTTGGGCACCTTTCCGATGAACCATAATGTGTTCTCCTTTGAGTACTGTGAATTCAACCATCAGTTCCATTAGCATTTGTAGAGAATATGACTGCAGCAAGGACAGAGTTAATCCAGGTAAACCACAACCGTGACCCAAAGTGCACTAAGCTGCATATCTCTTCCCATTGCCCACCATGGGGCTTGGGCCCTGTAATTGCAGTGAAAAAAAATTATTGGGAAAAAGCTGAGAACACAGAACATCCCTAGAGACAATAATTTCTTTCAGTGGGGGAGGGTTGGGAAAGGGTGGGGGGTGGAGGGGTGAAGACCTAAGAGCACAGGATTGGCAACTGGTTCCACCCCTCTGGGTCACCAAAGGCAGATCCAGAGTTCTGAGGATTTAGGCAGTCCATGCCACTACTGGAAAATCAACTCCAAATTTCCATTTTTTCCCCTTCTGTAATTAAAAGCTAATGTTCTTTACCTCCAAATAGCCCCACATGTACAGGGGAGTCCTTCGGATCATAATTTAGAGCTGAACTTGTACCGTCCTCCAGAACCCTGACCTTGGGACTCCTGACCAAACAGTAAGTGTTTAAAGCAGTGCAATTTAAGGACTGTAAAGCACATCACAAAATGCAAATGTAACAAGCAGAACATGATCCCAAAGTTCTTCCATTATTAACCCCACCATCAGTATACAAACCAAACCTGAGACAACAGTGTTAACACTTCCACTGCATTGTAATTAACATGCTTTTTAAAACTTCTTTTGCATGACAAACTTGTGTGCAAGAACTCAGAGCTGGGTGACCCAGATGTCAATCTCCCCTTTAGAAGAGGAAATTGTGCTTGTGGGCACTGGTGAGGGAAGGCATGCTCGGCTTCAGTTGCGTGCAGCTAGCTCATGCTAGCAGATCTCATGACTGCCCCTCTTGCTTGTGCTTCCAGTTACTAAGAATTCTGTAGATAAACTTCATTTTATCTGAAAGGAGGAAGTTACTGCTGGATGCAGAGTCAGGAAAGACAGCAGCCTATTGCACAGAGCAATAATGTTAGAGGAACACTCCTTTTCCCATGCAAATTGGAAAACAAGGCAATTAACTGCTCGAGTGCCATGCCATGCCACTACATCCTGGGCTCACTGCTTCAGGAAACTAGAAGGGAAAAACCTTTTCTCTTAGAACTAAACAGGAGAAAAGTAAACTATTGAAGCTCTTTGATAGCCTGCACTGACAGAAATTAGAAACCTTAAAATTAGAAGCTCTGAGGAAGTGATTCTGCACCTTGCACTGCAGCAAGTGTCGAGCCTTTCCCTCTGCTCTTGACTCTTGGACTTAGTGATTGGCCAAGAGCACAATGCCTAGAGAACTGATAGCTGCTGAGCCAGCTCAGCTGTCAAAGGTCAAGGCAGTTAGAGAGAGCCCTGTACACTAAAGAGTTGATCACACAATTGTTTCAAGAGACACTTGGGCTGTCTTTGGAGGGCACTTGAAAAACTGAGCTGATTTGAAAGAATATAGATAACCAGGACTTTCTCTTCTCACAAGTGCCATACTCAGTCATTCTTTTTTCGCTCAAGTAGGAGGTTTGAGGGCAAGTGATATCCCATATCAGGCTGCCAAAAATTATACTTCTGACAGATGGCTATGTTTCTGTGGCAATAAAACACACAATGTTCATCCCTGTGCTCAGAGTCACCTGCTCAGAAAGTAGCTTCAGATGGATGCATGTCCTCACTCTTCCCGGGAAATGTCTTAAGCTAGACGAGGTATTTCCAGACTCTTTGGTTGGAGCATTAATGCTGGGCAGGCTGTTTGAACTCTGCAAGCTGCTTTAGGATGAAAGTCCTCCGGGACTTGCTCACTTTAAGGAACCAAGGCCCATCGACTCAGTCTTTACACAATCAACGACTTGCCACTTAGCCAGCCTCTACAGGGGCCTTATATCTGCATATCCTGATAAGATAAGGGCACATCAAGGGTGTGACTAACTCCATGATTGTCTCTCTGAGCTCCTTTAGCTTTGTCCCTGCAGCGTTGTTACTTTGAAGTACAAGTCGTTTGCATAAGTCCTTCAGGGCAATCTCTACCTTCTGTTAAGCACAGTCTAGCTGTCCCTCTGCCAGAGATAAATTACAGCACAAGCCCTATGTGGAGCTTGGAGGAAGAATCCTGCCATAATGACTTATCGGCATTAACAGGCATCCTGCTCTAAGGCACTAGTCATTCCCGGGTTTAGGTGTCACCTCACTAATCTCTTGCAGTGCTTCACCGAGTGACTGTCTAATTCAGAGCCATAGTAAAGCCTGAGCCAACATCCCTGTTAGTACACATGTTCTCTACGGTTCATTATTTTCTGCTGAAGGCCACTTTCCTCATTCCTTCAGGAAAACAGGACACTATACACAAACATCTTGTAGCTGATTCAGTACCAAGTCCAGCAGTTCCCAAGCGCTTAGTGCAGGTTAAAAATCGCTCCAGTTCAGGAATAAACTGATGCCTCCTGCAGGCTCTGCTTGAAAGGGTAGCAGGCACTAGCTACCAGCAGTAATGAAACCAGTAGCCCTTATTGGATTTGCCCCTAAAATAAATTTAGGATTATGGCACTGATGTGCTTTTGCTTACACAATTTAAGGTTTCAATGGAGCAATTTTCAGTTACAAATATAACCAAAATAAATACATGCCAGCAAAGTTACTGGTTCAGAACGAGCTGCAGTAACCATCAGTGCTATGATGCACAGGCTGAAGGCATTGCACAAGCTTACATCCATATCCAACAAGAATTTACACAAATAGCTTACAGGAGAAGAGAATTAAGTCACAAATAGACTTTATTTCCCTTGAGCAGACTCCCCACAAACAAAATAAAGAGCAAGAAAGCAGCTCACTTTCCTTTGTCCCTTTCTATTGTTCATGGGTCAGACCCAGGCACCTGGCTGATCCTTGCTCTGGAGGAAGCCAGGCCTTTAAAAAGGCACTCACACAATCATGGTGGGAGTTACAGGGATAGCTGCTGCTTGTTTGGCATGCCGGGTGACGAGGAACAGAAACCCTAACACATCCCATTTGAACACTGAAAACAAATAGTTCCACTTCCATAAGCTGTTCCTCACAAGTTCCCTCTCTGGTGGAAAGCATGTTTTTAATAATGCAAACCAGAACTGAATTGAATCACACCTCTGAGGCCTCCTAGTGCAGTACACCTATAAGTGGTATTCCCAGCTTCTCTCTTTCTCTGAAGCTCTTGGCTCTTAACACAAAATCTCTTTCTTCCATCCCTTCATACCAGCTTGTCGGACACCCACGTGCTATTTTATGCAGGTAACAAAGTCTTTGGCAGGGTGCTTGGGCTAAAGCACAGGTAGCTGTAGCCAGAAAGTCAAGTGATTCCTCCCCAGATTTGGGGTTCCATCCCAAAGGTAGCTTCTGCTCTTGAGCCGCAGAGTCAATCAGACCAGCAGAGTCACTCTGTAAGTGTAACCTAATCTTCCATTCTAAGGTCTTGATACGATTTCTGGACAGGACATGGCTAAACAAAGTGATCTGCACAACCTCAGAGCTGGTGGCAGTCTGCTGGTCGCATCGGTTAGCATGTTGTGTGTCATCCAGTGGTGTGTAAACTTTATTATTCTAAAATAATAAATTATTTTCATTTATTTTAAATAAATTATTATTCTATTTATTCTATTCTAGAATAAATTATAGCATTCTATTCTTAAAGAAATTATTATTCTAAAATAATACATTATTATTCTAAAAGAAAAGTCATCCAGTTAAGAACAAGGGTGAAGCATGTTTCATGCTTTCTGACCTCAGAGTCTTTCTGTACACCTGAACCTAAGAGATGCCATCAGCTTGTCCCAGTGAGTCCTGTTTATAACAATACATTTCTCTTATCAAATCAAATACCTGGAAAAAATGGTTGGCAATGAAATGATAAAATCTACTGGAAGCTACAGAGAAGTTTATTTTCATCATTTGAAACCACCTTGGTCTTCTGCTGTGCAGAGAATTCAGTGTTTAAGAGGGCTATTTTTTTGGGTGACAGAGGGGGAGTTGCATTTCTCTTCACACACTGAGCACATTGACACTAGATGCGCAGAAAGCAAGAACCATTCCAGACAGGGAAAAAGCGAAAGCAAGAGGAGGGGAGGGAAGAGGAGGAGAAGGAAGGGGAAGGAAGAGGAGGGGAAGGAAGAGGAAGGGAGGGAGCTGGAGAGAGGAGAAAAAAATCCAGCTTTCTGCTGATTCAGGGACCCAAAGCTCATGTTCTGCAGCATACAGACTGGTGCACCTTTCCCTGAAGAGAAGGCTGTAGCTTACAGCAGTTCATGTACGAGCAGCAGGATCAAGGAGCCAGCCTCCTGACACAAGCCCAAAGAACATGCATTTTAATTTCACATGCACAGCCTGCATGTGTCATTTCAGGTGGTTTCTAGAAGTAGATGGGGCATGGTCATAATCATTTGGTGGCATATGCTCTTCCTGTGTTTGGAAGCAGGTTGTCCAGTGATGCTATTGGCATCATTTCCAGTCTGGCCGTCAGGATACTATACAGGGGATGCTGTTACAGCAACAGCCTCGAAAGCCTCAGCTGACACTTCACTAGCAGATTGATTTTCCCGGGACGCTCACAGTCTTTTGATGTAAAGGTACCAAGATAAAATGGAGTAACTGGATCACACAGCGCCATTGTGGACATTCCCATTCAGAAATGAAGTTCATTTATCTTCCCTTACTTTAGTGCACATGTAAGAAGAGAGAAAGCAGGGGACTTTTTAAGGGTTAGGAGACTGAAACTGAGAGCAATAAGGAAAAGCTTGAAGTGGCAAGTGTCTAGAGATAAGAGCAATCCTTGTATAATAGGCTTGCATGTCAGATGAGATAAGTCACAGGTATCACAAATGCATTGGCATGGTTACAGCCACACAGCTCCTTCCTTCTGTGAATTAAGATCATTGCAGAAGTTTAGCCTTTCAGTCATAGCCTTTCTCCAAACATTTATGGGTACTTCCCATGGATGAATGACAGGATGAGAATCAATAAGCACTGTTCTTCCTAACTCAGACATCTCAAGAAAGAATTGAAACTTCATGGACTTCAGTTGCAACTGTCCATTTAGTTTGTTAAATGCCAGATCTCTTGTGCAAAAGCAAGTCAGCTTCTTAAAGCCAATTTAGATAATCCCATGATCCCTGGAACAAACAGGCAGGATTTCCAAGTACAAAGATGGCCCTGTAGTCAGCATCTCTGAAGTTGAAAGGCTCTTTATTTCAGGCAATCAGCATAATTTCCAAGTTTTCTCAGAAGCTGATGTAAAGAGAACCTCACTTCAACCTCCTTTTTGTAGAGGGTATACCTTTTTCACCTAACGTGCAGAGCTCCTCCAACACAGGGTAGCTGTTCTAAGACACACACACAAACACATCATCTACCCAACCTGCCTTTGTTGCTGTTATCCAAAGTCCATTATCCATTTTGCTGAGGAGTCTTTTTCTTTTTCTACCTATAGTGAAAGGCAGTTTGCAGTTCATCCCTGGTGATCTCAAACTGACAGGCCAGCAAAACATTACATAAAGCACAAAAGAGTTTGCTTTCCTTGGCAGCACACCCAATTCTGTCATATTAATGCTCTGCCAACAGCTATTGTCCTTGACAAGTGACTCTGCACTAGCAGAACAGGATCCACTGAAAAAAAAAGAATAAAAAGCTTTTCATGTGCTACATTGCATCTTCTGAGCCTTTAGGAAGGTTACACTGGAAAGTTCACATCCCCTGGAAAACAGAACTATTTTACAAAGCTCAGGCTCAGCACTTTGGCATTGGAAGAAAGAAACACTGTCCAGGAGAAATCAGCCACAAGATGGCACAAAATGGAACCGAAGAGGCCTAGGCAGACTCCACAGAGTCAAGCAAGACACAGTAAGTTGGTGGAAGAGGCTGTATTGTATTTGTGCTCCTTGAGGTTCTGGTTTGCTTCTTTCCACAACAAAATAAATTGTGGAGAAGGGAAAGCAGCACATTCACATGTGGGGAATTGTCTCCTCCTTTATAGCAGTTAAGCATGCAGCCAAGTGACTGCACACATCTTTACTTTTGTTTATCTTTGCTTGGAAGAGAGCACAGAGATAATGAGGAAAGCATATTTACACCATACAGGGATGGGCAGTCAAGTTAGCAGAGCAGTCAGTCCACAACTGGCTTCTTGAGAGGGGAGGAGGTAAAAAGCACTTTGGGGAGCACTAAAAAAACATTGAAATATCCTGTCCAGGCTCCACTTTGTTAATGTCCTCTCATTTGTGATAAAATAAAGTGCAGAAGTGTTCCCAAACCATAGAAACATAGAATCATAGAATAGTTCGGTTTGGAAAGAACCTTAAGATCATCTAGTTTTTTAAAAAAAGAAAATGAAAGAACATTATATGAGTCATAGAAAACTTCTCCCATGCATAAACAAAGCTGAAGGGGTATTTCTGAAAGCCAGTGAGACCAGAAAGTACAGAACTGGTATGTTTGGCACCAGTACAGGGCACTTAACCATAGGATAGCTATTAACTTCTGTAGAGGGACTGCATCTCAACAAGGCCTTGAGGAAGTCTGTAAGCACTAATTTTCACCAAGGAATAGAACTACCTGAGTGAGCCAAAGCTGTGCTTCAAAGAGATGTCATTCCACAGCACCATCTGCTCGTCAACATGCTATGAGCTGCTGTCTCCACAGGAGACATTTGTGTTCCCTACTAAGAAGTTAGAATGCGTTAAGCTGGAGGTCAGGATGTGTGTTAAAGGCAGATAAACCTAGAAGTTAAAAGGATACCCAGCCATGCTATGCCAGCTGCTTCTGAGAGGAGAGATCTTGGAGCATGAAAAATCAAATTGCTCAAATATCCTTTTGCTTTCAGCTAGACAAATGTCATATAATCACAGAATAGTTTGAGTTGGAAAGGAGCATTTACCACTTCTTTGGACAACCTGAGTCAGTGCCTTACCACCCTCAGTAAAGAACTTCCTTATACCTAACCTGAACTTCCCCTGTTTCAGTTTGAGCTCACCACCCATTGTTCTATCACTGCAGTTCCCAGTGAAGAGTCTCTCTGCAGCATCCCTGTAGGCCCCCTTCAGATATTGGAAGGCTGCTCTGAGATTTCCATGCAGCTTCTCTTCTTCAGGCTGAGCAGCCCCAATTTTCTCACCCTGTCTCATATGGGAGGTGTCCTGGCACTTTGTGTCATCTACAGAAGAATCTCTCCCCTCCATCACTTTCATTCTGCTTTTAAGACAGCAGAGAAAAGGACATGTTCCTTTCAAAGCACCTGTAAATCATGACATAGAATATCATGTGTCTGTCTTACTTTATTGCTGCTGTTCTTATCCCTTTCTTGCTTTGGTGTATTAGTCAAACCTTCCTTTCTCTGATGAAATAGCAAAAACATCCTCTGCATATTTAAAGAAAGTAGATGAAAGATAACCTCCATAAAATGGTTTTGCTCTGCTTTTGTGGGAGAATGTGTGTGCCCAAAGATGGACATCTGTGAACAAGATCTGACTTTTATGGAAACTCATTTTACTTGTAGACTTTAAACAGAAATCCATAGTAACTGCGCTCTGACTTTTGTAGCTTCTACTAGTCTTTCCACTGCCCTTTTCTCTTTTCATACTTACACAAGACTGTGCTTCCTCTCCCACCCCAGGAGATTGACTATGAGTTTTGAATAGAGTCACTTCTTTTCATAAACTGAGAAAGTGTTCCCAGTTTTGCAGCTGAGAGTCACCTATGCATGTGCAGAGCTTTAAAGACATAATTCTTAAAGGTGTCTGGGGATTTGACTACTCAATTAAACCAAGAGAAATGAAGTGTCCCAATGCTCTGAAGTGCTTTGGAAAAATCTTCTGCTAAATACAGCAGCTTAATAAAGATCTAAAATTACACAAAGACATTTTCATTTTTATTTCTGAAAAAAAAAAAAATAAAAAAAAATTAAGGGTTATTTCCACACAGTGGAAACTTGACAGGCATTAAAGAATGTCACTAATTTGCACAGAGGCAAAGCTTATTCCATGCTTCTGGACTACAATCCAGTTAGTAGCCCTGTTGTTGCTTTCTCGAATTATGGTCTTGTAAAGTTTATGTTGGGGCTTGCTGTGGTTGCTTTTCTGAGACCTGTTGTGCTTCTGGTGTTTGAAGTAGTGTGGGACTGTGCTCTGTGTTGCTGAGGGAAAAGCCCTGCCTGCTGACGGCCAGAACTCCTGGCTTGCCTTCTTTTAAGTGCCCTGTACATGCTGCTTCTTTATACAGGCCTGCTGAGCTTCAATATATCACCCAACAAAACAACAAAAGGGCTTTAATAAAATGGCTGAGAAGCAGATTCCTGCTTTCTATGACGTGTAAGGTAGCTCTGTATTTCTAAATATATTTAAAGTTTAAGTGTGGCTGTAAGTAAGGATTTGATTGCTCTGTAAATTGTCACCACAATTCTTAGCTGGTGTATCCAACAGGTGACTATAGTCCCTTTAGAGAGCTTTGCTACCCCATTACTGTTTATATGTTGAAAGCTTTTTAATTTACATGGGTTTTAGCTAGTCCCTTGGTTTCTTTCCTTTTAGAGCTGCACACATGAGCTTGATGAATCATGTGGTTGAGAAAAGTAAGAATCAAGAGAAATGAGAG